GTTGTTGTTGTTGTTGTTGTTGTTGTTGTTGTTGTTTGTTGTTTGTTTGTTTGTTGTTTGTTTGTTTGTTGTTTGTTTGTTTGTTGTTTTTGTCCCCCCTCTCTTCTCCGTTTCTAGTGGCCTGCGCGCGCTCTTGCGATGTCGCGCGCCGCGAGCCATTCTTTTCAACTGTTCGATCAAATGCGACCGCTCGGGCCCCTCGCGCGCGCGTGCCAAACCTCCATCGAGCGCCTCGCGGCGCGCGGTGGGTGGGGTGGGGCCGGGGTGGGGGGGCGATCCGCGTCGAATGATGGCGCGGGGGCCACTCGCGCCCGTCGGCCGCGCGCGCGCGTCGAAGTCTCTCCAGAACCCTCGTCGGCATCGGTGTTGTGTTTGGCCTGGCCGTAGTCAATGTCATCATCGTCACCAGCGTCATTGCTATCATCATCTCGCCTGCCGCTGTCGACGTCGCCGCGATGTCGCGCCGGCCATCGACTCGCGCTGCAGCGCCCGCGCGGCAGCGCGGCCCGCGAGACGCGCTGAGGCGCCCCCCGCGGCCAGCGCAACTGCGGCTGCGCGGGCCGCGCCGGACTGGCCAGTTATTCTGCGCGCGAGCCCGCGCGCGGGAGCGCGGCCGCGGCGGCGCGCGAGCCAGCGCCAAGCTGTCGCCGCCGTCGTCGCCGCCTGGGTTTTGCGCGCCAAGTTGCGGTTTTACGCGCCTGGGTTTTGAGTGAATATCATCGTCGTCATCGGCGTGGCCGGCGTCGGCGCCGCCATTGGCCTCGCCGTCGCCATCGCCATCGTCGCGTCCGCCTTTGGCGGCGTTGCTATGATGCCGCGCCCGCCCGGGTCGCCGACTCGCGCTGAAGCGCCCGCGCGCCAGCGTGGCCTGCGAGGCGCGCTGAAATGCCCCCGGTTGTCATCGCCGCCGCGGCCGCGTCGGTCGCGACAGATTTTCTGGCCGCTATTCGAGCGAGTTTGCGCGCGCTATGCGCGGCTGCAGCCGCGCGCCAGCCGGCGCCGTGCGCTCGTCGCATCCGCTGCCGCGTCGGTTTTGCAGACCAGGTGGCGGGCGGGCGGGTGGGGCGGTTGCGCGATCAGTGGAGTTGGACACGCCAAGTTCCACGCATTGAATTGCGCCGCGTCGATTCTCTATCTCGTGAATGAGTGTGTGTTCACCGCCCCCAGTTTGATCTAATCTCGCTGGGATAGTGCAGGGCGCGTGACTCTGCCCCATCGTTTACCTCGGTGTGAAATCATGTTTTATCAGCCGCACCCCATATCGTCTCCTTTCCAACTCAGTGAGATACTAGCGCGCGCGTTCGGCTATCGAAAATAACAAGTCTCCACGAACCCCTTGTAACAGCGAGACAGGTACTCCAAGAGCGGGGTCGCGCGCGCGCCGAACGCAGTCAAGAACCGCAGGTTCCTTGCGGATGTCAAAGTCGAGGTTCCCCAGCGCATTCTTTGCCCGGGAAGCGCGCGATGATTTTGCGGCGCGACGTTCGACAATCCTGCGCTCGCGCGCCATTGCGACTTAGTAAAATCAAGATACCAGAGGTTCTTTGCTTTCAGAGTGTTCCATCAAGTGAGGCCGCGCGGGCCTTCCGCGCTCGAGTCGAGGTCATGCGAACGCCCGCCCGCGCTTGTTGGAGGGGCATGGCCCCTGTCAATGAATGCCGCGAGGACTGCTCGCGCGCCTCGGCCGCGCGCGCGTTTCGAAATCCTTTTCAAACATTCGTCGCCGACGCGTGGATTGCATCATTGTCGTCGGCGTGACCAGCGTCGGCGCCGTCGTTGGCCTCGCCGTCGTCGTCGTCGTCGTCGTCGTCGTCGTCGTCGTCGTTGTCGCCGTCGCCGCTATTGGCATCATCGTGTTATGCGTTGTCGACGTCGCCGCCATGCGGCACCCGCGCTGGTCGCGGGTCACCGACTTGCTGTTATGTGGCCGCGCGCCAGCGCGGCTGGCGAGAAGCGGCGGGGCGCCCCCGGCGGTCAGCGCCACCGTGATCGCGCCGCTTGCGCCAGACTAGCTGGCCCCCCTTTCGAGCAAGCATGCGCGTGCCAGCTCGGCCGCGACGATGCGGCAGCCGGCGCCGTGCGCTCGTCGCAATCGATGCCGCGCCGGTTTTGCAGACCAGGTTGCGGTTTGGTTGGTGGGGTGATTGCGTGATCAATGGGAATGATTACTCCGAGGTCTTCGAAATCAATTGCGCAATTGAGATTTCGTGGTGCGGGTTTCCCCGGCCGTGGATTCCACTGCGTAGATTCATGCTCTAATGCCTTGGGATAGTCATAATTCTGTAAGATGCTGCCCCTTCGTTCATTCTCACCGCGTACCAAGCCGCCCCAACCCAGCCCGAAGGTCCCGATTTGCCCTCCATTTTCAGTGGTGGTGTGTGTGTGTGTGTGTGTGTGTGTGTGTGTGTGTGTGTGTGTGTGTGTGGGGGGTCGGGGGACATCGAAAAACACGTGAAGCTCGTGCCCCCCCCCCAACCCGGAATTCGGGCGAAATTCGGGTCTTCGGGTTCGGTTGGGGTGGTCTGCTAGGTAGTCACATTCAAAGTATCAATGCGAACCGCCTCGGGGCGCGCCGCTATCGCCCCCGTCCCACCATTTTTGTATAGACCAGCCGTTTAGTTTTTGGCTGTCGAATCTCATTTCGGATTTCAGAGCCCCTCGCGGCAAATTCTCGATTCTTCGCGCATCCCCGCGGGGCCGCCCAGAAACATATTGCCAGGCGAGTTGCCTTGATCAGGGAAGTGTAGAAGCATGCGGTGTAACGGCCGCCTCGTAAGTGTTCTCTCCGAGGGCTCTCGGTGCCGTCTTGGGTCTCCCTTGGGGTCCTCGTGGAGCCGCTTGGGACGCGCTCGGGGCCCTCTCAGGGTTTTTTTCCTGGGGTCCAGGAGCTCTCTCGCGGCTCCTTAGATGGGGGGCTCTTGGGGTCGTCTGTCCCGGGCCATGGGCTTCGCCCCCCCCCCCCCGCTCCCCATCAGATGTTCAAACTTGATGCCTTGCGGCCCTCTTGGGGCGCTTTCTGGGCGCTCTCGGGCGCTCTGGGGGCCCTCTCGGGGCCCTCTTGGGCCCCTGCTGTGCCGTCTTGAGGCCGTCCTGAGGCCTCGAGAGCCCGTGGACAGCGAGCCGGCGAGCAGGCAAGCCACTTCGTTTTTCTTATCGATGTTTGAAGGATTTTGAACTTTCGGGGGGTCCTTGGAGGGCTCGGGGGGCATTTGGAACCGTCTTGGGGTCGTCTTGAGGTATCTTGAGTCATTATGGAGGCCATTTTGAACTGAGGCCCTCTGGGGGCCATCGCGGGCCGTCGCGGGCGCCGGATCGCCCGCGCCGCCTTCCCCCCCTTCCCTGAGCGGGGGAAGACGGGGTTTTGGCAGATCGAAGACGCAAGTTCATTAAACCACCTACGCCCTGAGGGTTGGTGGGGTTCGACTGGTGGACGCTCGCGCTTCGTCGCGCGGATTCCAAAATCTAGTTTCCCGAAGACATGCACGCGAGCAGCGGTTTTGCAGCGCGATGCGTTGAACAAATCTGCGCACTTCTGCTGATTCTGACTAGACGAATGCGTTTTCTCCATCGTTATCATTTGCGACCAAGGGGGCTTTTCGCGCGCGCATGGCGAACTCATTCGAAAGCCATTGCGCGTTTTCGGGGGTGGTGGTGGAGGGGGGTGGGTGTTGGGGGGGGTACGGGTCTTGTGAAACAGTGACCGCGGGCCACTCGCACCCGTCGGCCGCGCGCGCATGTCGCAATCCTTTCGCAACCTGCACCGCCGACATGTGGGCGCCATCATCGTCGTCGGCGTTATCGGCATCGACGTCGCCATTGGCCTTGCCGCCGTCATCGGCGCCATCGTCACCAGCATCGCTACTATCATCATCGTGTCTGTCGTGGTCGACGTCGTCATGATACCGCGACCGCGCAGGTCACCGACTCGCACTGAAGTGGCCGCGCGTCAGCGCGGCCTGCGAGACGCGCTGGGCTGTCCCCAGCGGTCAGCGCCACCGTGGCCGCTCGGTCGCGCCTGACTATTTTGCCGCTGTGCGCGCGAGCATGCGCGCGCTATCGCGGCCGCAGCGACACACCAGCCAAACCACGCAATCATCGCAATGGCCGTCGCATTGGTTTTGCAAACCGCGTTGCGGGTGGCTGGGTGGGAGGTTTGTGCGAACAGCGGACCGGACAACGCATTCATGAACGTTCTTGTATGGCATCACATAGTTTGCGCAACGTAGACTGCTAACAACACATTGGTTGGGGTCCATGCCGGGTAATGGTTAATTGTTGCACAGATTTATCGATATGAATACAGATATGCATATGTAGTTATTCATGTATATATGTATACACATTATTGTATATGTGCGTGTATATGTTTAAACATATGTATTTTGAACGGCGCATGTATACATATACATATATATACATATAATTGCGTAGTTATGTATGTGCATCGGTCTGCCCCGCTCAGTCTTTCTTTGTTTTTTATTAGTTCGTTCTCTCTCTTCATATTTCGTCCCCGGGTTCCTTTGTATTTCGTGTTCTTGTTTCGTTCCCCCTTCCACCTTTCCACCTACCCCTCTCCGCCTTGTAAACGTCGGCTTCCCCTGCTCGCCCTCCCCCTTCGCTCGGGCAAGCTGCGCCGTGCCATGTCGAAACGACCCTACAGTACGCATTGTTCTGCGCACGTGCCGCGCGCACGCGTGCAGCGGCGTCGTTGGCGTGCATCCCCGCGAGTGGGAGGGAGGCCTCCGTGTCCCGCGAAGCCCGAGAAAACCGCGGAGGGCACGACGACGCGCAGAGTGCAGTCAAAACGCGTCGATAAAGGACCGCTTCGGGTTCGGGAGGGGCTCGGGTCATCGGCCGCTCCTGTGATCCAGCTCGGGGAGCTCATTCGTGGCCAACAAAAATCTACTCCGTTTCTCATTCGGCGTTCCCTGTGGTAGCTGGATGACTGTGCCGGACGACCCGGCGGCCGCCATGACGTTCCGCCGCCCTCCCGCCCGCAG